GAGGATTGTCAGCTCTCTCCCCCTCCTCCGGAATCCTAAGGAGGATGTTCTCAGGGATAGCGAACCCCCTACGAAGGGATCCGAGGTAGTGCTCGGGTATCCTAGAAGGGTATTCCAAACCCTGACCCGAGGTGGAGGCATCACTATCCTCCCCGTCATCGGAGAACCTAAAGTTTCTATCTCTTCGAGCTTGGACTCTAACCTACGAGCTAAATCCTCATCGGATCCTAAGTTGCTGCTAAGAGAGGACGACATGGCAACTACGTTCGAAAGAGAAAATGAGGGAAGAGACCGACCTACCAAAGGTTCGAGCTGCCTTCAGATCGAACTCCAAGAATTCAGGAAACGTAAGGTATGACCTGAATGATTGGGGGTATTTGTAGCTCATCGAAAAAGTTTCCCCACCGTACACGTGTAATCAACGAGCGGCTGGGATCCTCCCGAAAATCCGAAGCGTCGGAATATTTGAATATTCCAACGATAAATGCACCGCAACGGTTATGTTTTCCCACGAATAGGAAGTCGCCACGTGTCTGAAGCGAATCAAATGAACTTTTCTGCCAGGTCGAGATCGGACCAGACAGAGAAGGGGCCAATGTTTGGGGGAAAGAATACCCTGGACACGTGGAGGACAGCCATTGGTGCTCCAGGGTGACCCATGAGTCATGCCCCAGCTCGGCCCGCCGAGATCACCACCACTAGCGTTGACAGATGCTAAGTATGAGGGCCGAGGTGAACCTGGCCGAGGTCCGACCTACCGGGAAGCTCGGTGGGGGCCGATGTGAGCTACTGTCAGCAGCGTGATTATCGGGTGTAACCGTCGGTTCCGAGATTAACGGGTGTAACCGACGGTCCCGAGATTACCGGGTGTAACCATCGCGAGATTAGCGGGACTACCACCCATAAGTAGAGGACTTCACTCCACGATCAGGTACGATGATTTCTGACCTCGAACTAAACTGGGAATCCGACCTATACTGACTTGATCGTCGGAGTGCTCACCTTTTTGTGTAGGTCCGCCCAAGTATTCAGATCGGTCCGGAGGCCGAGTTCGAGCTGCAACCTGAAATACACTGTTGTGCATATCCTTGCATAAACAAACATAAACTTTGGATTCCATCAAATTAGATTATAGAATTTGATGAGTAGTATTCAATTTTTAACTCCTAAATAAATATTTGTTTAAAAACTTTTAAAAATAAATTTGTTCCGTGAGTTTAATAAATTATAAAACATATGTCTCGTATAAAATTAATGAAATTTCATAACAAAATACAATGACACTAGAGCTAGAATTTTTATTAGTTCTTAAATATTAGTATTAGGAGATTTGTTCAAAGGGTCGATTTCATGTATTAATTGATTTTAATTTTGGGGAAGGTTTGATTCTATTAGCAAATTAAGGGAGATTTTTACTATTTTATGAAATTGATACTGTTTTTCAATGTCATGTTTAGAGGTAAAAGTTTAAAATTGATTTTTTTTTCTTCTTTCATATCACATACAACACTTAATCTATCTACCCCCATTTCCTATCTCCTATCATCTGTTGCACAGGTCCTCTCTTTTTCTGTCTTTTTGTTTTGTGTTTTGATTTTTTTTTCTTTATGTTTTGTTCTAATCTCAAGGTGCATACACCCATCAGTTTTTTCATAAATACAGTGTCAATAGAGAAGAACGGGTGGGTGAGAGCGCCCCTCAAAATTCTAAAGAATTTAAAAGGAATGAGTTCAAACCGTACTTGTCATCTATCAAATTCATTAACCGGGGGCCACCCGCGTCCGCCTAAGATCCGGACTCAAGAGACATCAAATGTTTATTGTAAATTCTTGAACGCTCGAACTTGAAACATTTAAACCTATTTGACTAAGAGACTTCAAGCCCTTGCAAAAAAAAAATTATTTATCAATACTATTATTTTATCTCTATCTTATCTCTAGTAGATGTATGCATGGACACGATTCTCTTGACTTGTGTATAAATAGGAGCAGTGGTTTTGGGGTTTGTACAACCAAAGAGTAATTCACAATTACAAACTCAGATCGGCAAAAATGCTTGATGGGGTATTTGCAATGGCTGCAGAAGAGGGAGCGAGGGAGGCCGATTACCGGAGGAGGATGGAGGAAGAAGAAAAGAACTACGTCGCTGGCAACAAATTTCCCCGGCGTTTCGCCATCAAATCGAGCCACAATGACAAGTACTTGCGGTACATAAACTACGACAGCAACGAATCATTCGACGGTGTTCTCCAATTCACCGGCGGAAGAATGATAAGTCCATACACCAAGTTCGAGTTCGTGCATTCCAACGTCAAGGGATGCTTCCACATAAGATGCTGTTACAACAACAGATATTTGGTTCGTCGCGACGAGAAATCATCATATATCGTCGCGACTGCCTCCGATCCTGTAAATGACCCTTCTGATTGGAGATGTACGTTGTACGAACCCTTATATGATTCCAAAAACAAGGGGCATCAACTTCGCCACTATCAGCTTTCCAAACTCGTGTATATATACAATAGTCCCGAAGTCCCCGAAATTCCTAATGCTGCCAATCCCCAAGGCAAGCAGGATTCTAAGCAAGCATTCTACACCATCGTGGATTGGGACTCCATCTTTATACTGCCCAAGTATGTGATCTTGAAGGGAACCAATGGGCAGTACCTCGAGTTTAATTGGGAAAATCTTCTTCAATGTGCAGGCTCTAATGCTAAAGATAGTTCTATTGTTTATGAGATCCTCCCTACAAAAGATGGCAATATTCGTATGAAGCATGCTACATCGAGTGTGCTTTGGTTTCGTGGTCGTCGTAATTGGATAATCGCCAAAATAATAGATGCTAATACCAACGATCCCAACGCCTTGTTTTGGCCCTTCAAAGTTCAAGACAACATCGTGGCTTTTCGTAATTTGGGTAAGCGTTTATTAATATTTATGGGGTTCCATCTCAAAACCAATTGGCAATGGGAGGAGTAGCCCTACCTCCTTAAGATCGTGGCTCTTTTGAGCCATCGATTGTGGCTGGATCTCATTTGAGCTTTTGCACTCTGATACCATATGTATATGGATTTGGTTCCATCTCAAAACCAATATTACACAATGAGAGGAGTAATGCATATCTATTATAAATCGATGTAAGATTTATTTTCTTTTCAATGTGGATTCTTAGCAGCATTCACTCAATTTAAAAGCTTAAGCTTTATTTTCTAGGCCGAATTCCATCTCAAAATCAATTGACAATGAAAGAAGTAGCCCACCTATATTATAAACCATTGCTAGGTCTCTTATCTTACAAATATGAGATCCTTAACCATATATATAGCTGAGTTAGAGTAAAAAATTAATCTTTTTTATTCATATTTTTTAACAGGTAACGATCGTTTCTGCGTGAGATCCACTAGCACCTATACGGATTGTTTGAATGCTGATGCGAGTTTACTTTCAAGCCTGGCGCACATGGAAGTAGAGGAGCCTGTAGTGTCAAGGACCATTGATATGCTGAGGTACAAGCTGAATGATGCAACAATTTATGATCAAAAGGTGTTGAGCATGGCCAAAGGAGACGCTATCAACAAGACAAAAGAAATCGACACAGTAACCTTTAAATTTTATTATGAGAAGAAAATGAAGACAACCTGGAGTGCTACCCTGTCATCCAAGATTGGTCTGACCACAAAATTTAAATTAAATGGGATCCCTATTATTGGAAGTGGAAGTATTGAAATTTCAACTGAGCTTGGGACTGAATATTCATGGGGAAAAACCGATAAACATAAAAGTATAATTGAACTTACTTATCCTGTGACTGTGCCTCCAATGTCCAGAGTGGAGATTAGTGCTGTGGTGAAACAAGGGATGTGCAAAGTTCCTTTCACCTACCGTAGAAATGATGTTTTCTACAATGGCCGTACGGTTACTTCTTATTACAGCGATGGACTTTTCACTGGTGTCAACTCCTACGACTATGAATTCAGTTCTAGAGCTGTGCCAATGGAGTCACCACAAGGGTAAATTTGTTAAGCTACTTTCACTTTCTTTCTTAAGGTAATTTTCTCTGTTGTTTGTGAAGAATAATGGTTGAGAAACCAAGTTTGATTTGTTTGGTAGTATGGTATGTGTTTGGTATTTATTTAGCGAAATGGTAGATACGTCGTAATGACAAAAAATGGGAGGATTTTATGGACTAAGAGGAAGTAAGAACTTTAATATCTTCCCAAAGGATGGCGGATGAAGAGGGACAATCCGTGAACGTTTGCTTGTTTCTCTCGAGCCAAACAGATCGAAGGAAGGATGGAGCCAACAACATTTTGTCATAGGATGAATCTGCTTTACTGCTATGTGTTTGGTGTTTATTTATGTGATGTAACTTTTGAATGTCGGATAATAAACTCGTTTTTTGATCATTTGAATATTTTCGAATTAGTCATGGGAGAATTATATTAGTATAAATAACTTTCTTCCTTTTTTTTTTATTCCATTGTTTTTATTTGGATGAGTTTGTTTCTCTTCTGGAAAAGATACCGGAGCATGATATTGTATAAATAAATAATAATAATATAATGTGTTAAAATGAAATAGTAATTTCAACACCATATAACAATGAAATCATTTAATCAAATCAACTTAATAAATTAAAAATTGCGAATGAAATTTTTTTAAAAACTAAAAACAAAAACAAAAAAATTTGTAAAGGTCTCTCTTGAAATATGTATTTTTAAAAAACTTAAAATGCGAATTATTTTAAATCTAAACCAAAATACAATATATTTATTATAACTAAACAAACTTAACCATAATCCAACTTTTCCTCATATTTTTTATTTATTATCTTTTTTATTATCGTGCCCTACTTTTTTTTTTCCTTGTCAAAATAATACTTCAACTAATAAAAATACCAACTAATAAAAATACTAAAAAAGAAGTCAAAAATAGTTTTAAAAGATCAAAGAGAGATTTTAAATATATCAAACTACCCATTACTTTGCAAATTTATTTGAAACTGAATTTTTACCCTTCTGTATTTCTCTTAAAGGAGTTTTTTTTACCCAAATTAGTGTTATAAAAATTGAAATAAAAAGATACAAAACCGAAAGAAGACAATACCAAGCCAAATAGAAAAAAATTTGTATTTTGATTGAATGGTTATCCAAAAAACTGTAGGTAGAATGGAGGCAAAAGAGAAAATGATCTGTGTGCAATTTGCATAATAAAACAAAGGTAGAGTGATGTAACTAAATTTTGTAAACAAGATAAATTTATTTTCTCATATAAAATAAGATAAATTTGCATTTTGTTACTTTTTAATTCAAAATCCTTTTAAATCCAACGTATTTTGAACCGAATTTTTTTTTTTTTTTAGCAAAACTTGATTTCAAATTTTTTTATGATTTCAAATTCATTATTTTTCTTACTAATCAAACAATCTTCTTTTTCTTACTATCAAACCGCATAAATGATGGTAAAATTACTGTTCTTTGCAAATCCTTTTAAATCAGAGGTTCCAAAGGCAGGTTAAACTTTTTGATCCTTCTTCAAGATTTGTGCTCATGATTGATACCTTCTTTTTTATGCAGCGGTTAATTTTACACAATTGTACTTTATTGACTTAGAGCAATCTTCGGTCGGGTGACCTCTTAATTGCTGAAAATCAATTAAAAATCCCTTTCAAGATTAATGGGTATATCTATTATTGTTTTTTTTTTTATTTTTTTACTTGATGAATGGTAGGTTCAAATTTTTATCCCATTTTTCTAATGTACTATTTTAAAATATATGTAGGTTAGATTATGACAAATTTGGCAATTGTTTTTATTTATTATTTTTTTTCCTTTTAGTTCAGTAAATAGAGGAGGAGACATTGAATCGCAAAAATATTGATAAGTGTTCTATTTATTTAGGACATTTTTCTTTTAACATACAATTGCTCCAAGTTTTATTTTTAATTTTTTTTTTGTAACAAGTGGGGTGAGGATTCAAACTCACAATCTCATGTTGGAGATAGATGTTAATATATACCATTGAGCTACATTCAAGTTGGCATTTGCTTCGAGTTAAGAAAATTTATATTTATATGATATTTATGAATATTTCATTGGAAAGTGCACTTTTTTTTTTGATAAAAAATCACATTATTTACCATCAAGGAGCTAGTATGTGAGAAAATGCACATTATTCTAGATATAATTATCAACTATTTTAAGTCGTTTTTTTTTTAACAATGCTGGCCTGGCTTTAGGTAATGTGCTTTTATTTTTCTATTTTTAGAAAAAATTTAAGGCAAAAACTTTGCTGTGCTCTCAATTTGATGGAAATATCCATGAAAGTATTGGTAAATCTCGATATACTTAATATGTCAGAAAAAATTAATAAAAAATATTTATTTATTTATTTTATTGAAAAGATACTTCATTTAAACAAACAGCATACCATTAAGGCTACAATTTTCCACTGCTTGAAGAAGCCAAATTGTAAAATAAAAAAACCACAAAAGTGGATAACCAGACCGAATTGACGATTCTTCTCTCTCGAGAATATTAAATTAACACATAAGCATTTCATATTCTTTTTAAATGTTAAAAATCGTAAATATTAACATTATGTCCAAATTACTGATATTTTGTTGTTTATTTTTTATATTTTATGGATTTTAAAATTTGTTGTTTTTTGTTTTTTATTTTTTATTTTTTGCTTTTTTAGCAATATTTGGGTGTCAATTCACCCCTTCTGTAGATATCAAACTCACGGACACATGGATTATCCATTGATGGGATGTGAATGCATTATTGTACCTCCACTACTAGAAAATTGGGTTTTCATGACGCTCATGAATAGTACTAAATACTGTTCAAAATAAAAATATATGTCACGAAAGGCAAAAAAATGCATTTTTGGACGAAAAAAACGGAGATTTCCAAATATTTGACCTTTCGTGACGTTTTTTAACCGTCACAAAATGGTGGTCAAAAAGTTGGTTTTTCATGACAACTAAAAAACGTCACGAAAGATTGATGCGCGTTTTTGGCGGGAAATGATGGAGTGTTCCAAATTTTTGACTTTTTGTGACGTTTTTCTAACCGTCACGAAATGATCGTCAAAAAGTTGGTTTTTCGTGACGTTTAAAAACTGTCACGAAAGGTTGAGGTGCGTTTTTGGCGGGAAATGACGGAGTGTTCCAAATTTTTTACTTTTCGTGACGTTTTTCTAACTGTCACGAAATGGTAGTCAAAAAGTTAGTTTTTCGTGACATTTAAAAAACATAGTGAAAAATAGATTAAAAAAATAATTAATTAACTTAAACTCTTTCAAGCTAATTTGATGGAATATATTATTTTTTTTAGGCATTGTTAGAATTTAAGTTAACAAAACATAAAAATCTAAAATTTAGGTGGTAGAAATTCTCACTAAGTAAATTTTGAATCCCATTAAAAATAAATATTATTTTTGTATTTCTATTTCATTTTAAAAGAAA